CTCGGGCAGGCAGCTCCCTGCGCACGGAGTCTCCGGGCACCTATTGGCTGGGGACACGCTGATAAGAAGTTAATTTCCAGCCTATACCAGTTTGGCTCCCTGGATAGAGCGTCGGCCTGTGGACTGAAAGATCCTGGGTTCGATTCCAGTCAAGGGCGGGTACCTTGGTTGTGGGCACATCCCCAGTAGGAGAGGTGCACGATTGATGCTTGTCTCTCATCGATGTTTCTAACTTTCTATCCCTCTCTGTAAAAAAATCAATAAAATATACATTTTTTTTTAAAAAAGAAGTTAATTCCTGGCCCGGGGGAGGGGTGTGTGTGGACGGGGCGCCTGGTGTCCCATAGGAAATGCCTGGGCACCGGGCTCCGGCCGGACAGAGGTGGCAGCCTGGCCGGATCCCTGTCCTTGGTGCTGGGCCCGGAGGAGCTGGCGGGCGGAGTGTGGGCGGAGGGCACCCGGGAGGGGGCAGGCGGGTGCTGGGGCCTGGAGGAGCTGGCAGGGCGAGGGGTGAGCGGAGGGTACCTGGGAGGGGGCAGGCGGGTGCTGGGCCCAGAGGAGCTGGTGGGCGGGGTGTGAGCGGGAGGGCACCGGGAGGGGGCAGGCAGGTGCTGGGCCCAAAGGAGCTGGGGGGCGGGGGGTGAGCGGAGGGCACCCAGGAGGGGGCAGGCGGGAGGGGGCAGGCAGGTGCTGGGCCCGGAGGAGCTGGCGGGGCGGGAGGGCACCCAGGAGGAGGCAGGTGGGTGCTGGGGCCTGGAGGAGCTGGCGGGGGGAGGGGTGAGCGGAGGGTACCTGGGAGGGGGCACCGGGAGGGGGCAGGCGGGTGCTGGGCCCGGAGGAGCTGGTGGGCGGGGTGTGGGCGGGAGGGCACCCAGGAGGGGGCAGGCGGGTGCTGGGCCCGGTGCCCCACGAGCTGAGCGGACGCCGCGGGGAGATCGCCGGCTCCCCCCAGCACAGGCGGCCTGTGACCCCGCCGGCTCCGGGGCGTCCCGTCCGCTCAGCCTGCAGTCCGGGCTCCAGCGGGGTCTCCGAGGCCCCGGGCTGTCAGACACGCTCTGCGGACCCCAAGATTTTTACCTTAAATTAAGGTGCCCAGATGCCCCGATTTCTTACCCTTTGTCCCGCGTCCCGCGGCGTTTTAAAAAGTCCAGGTCGCATGTCTGGCCACCTTACCTTACACCCACGCGAGTCCTCCTCCCCGGCCTCCAGGCGCAGCCCCTGGACTGGCCCCTCAGAGGCCGGAGGCTGCACTCCGGAGGCTGCAGGGGCTGCAGACCAGGGGGGGGGGGCCCGTCTTCTCTGCCCCCCGTGCCCCCACCCTCCCCGTGATCCTCACCCTCCCCGTGACCCTCACCCTCCACGTGACCGCACAGCCGTACTGCATCATGGGAAATTGCCGATTTGGAGCTCCAGGTCACAGCAGGGTCAGGAGCCTAGAGGGTGAGGCCGCCTTGGCGCCGGGTTTTGGAAGGCAGAGCCTGTGGGGGGGGGGGTGGGTCCCGACCTGCCTCCTTCAGAAACATGTCAGGGTCCTTGGCCCTCAGTGTGCTTCCCAGAGACCTGTCCCCACGAGTTCCCGGCATTAGGAAGAAAGCAGTGAGCAAGATGGCCGGCTGGCTCAGTGGTTAGAGCGTCGGCCGGAGGAAGCAAAGGTCTCGGGTCCTCACTCTTCCATGCGCTCCGCAGCTGACCGGAGGGGCCGGGGGTGGGGTGAGGGTAAACGCCAGCCACTCAGACACAGCTGGTGAAGCTGCATCGTTTTTGAGAGAGAGAGAGAGAGAGAGAGAGAGAACAAAGAATGACGAGAGACTCCCCAGATTACAAGTGTGGGTTACAATAATTGCTAAATTACAGAGCTCCGGCTTTATTAGGCACACGCCCCCGCTTCCCTGGCTCTCGGCGGCTGTGCTGAGCAGACAAAGGCCAGCAGGCTCCGCGGAAAGCGGGCGGGAGCTGAGGGGCCTCGGGAGCCCCCGAGTGGGTGAGGCCGGAGCCGAGAGCTCCCCCCCCCCCCCCCCGGGAGCTGGGCGGTGGCATTTTCCGAACGTGCAGACGCGCCGTGGGCTGTGCCGGGTCACGGACGTCCTGAGCGTGTCGGCACCGGGTCTGTGTCGGCACTGGGTTCCATGTTGGCACCGGGGTCCGTGTTGGCACCGGGTCCGTGTCGGCACCGGTTTTGTGTCGGCACCGGTTTTGTGTCGGCACCGGGTCCGTGTCGGCACCGGTTTTGTGTCGGCACCGGGGTCTGTGTCGGCACCGGTTCCGTGTCGGCACCGGGTCCGTGTCGGCACCTGTTACCGTGTCGGCACCGGGTCCGTGTCGGCACCGGGTCCGTGTTGGCACCGATTTTGTGTCGGCACCGGGTCCGTGTCGGCACCGGGTCCGCGTCGGCACCGGTTTTGTGTCGGCACCGGGTCCGTGTTGGCCTCGGGGCCCGTGTTGGCACTGGGTTGGCGGAGGGGGGCCCTTCCCCAGGCGCCTGCTCTTCCCGTCGTCACCAGTCACAGTGGCAACATCTCCGGCCCCCGGCAGGCGCCTGGTCCGTGAGAACTGCCGCTCCCTCTGCGCACTGCGGCCTCCTGGTCTGTAGTTCTCATCCCCACCCGCCGGCTCACCCCACTGCCTCCGGACAGGCATGTACGCCTGCCTTTAGCAGCCTCTCCGAGCAGCTGACCCCCGGCGGCGAACTGAACCGCAGCCCAGACCCCACTCACCTGCGTGTCCCAGCGACCCCGCCCGTGAGCGGCCCCGTGGGGGGGGAGCCTGCCGTTTCCCCGGAGAAATGTATTTACACGACACACCAGTTCCCACGCACGACGCTCGAAGTGAATAAAACCATCGTAAGACACGCAAAGCCGCAGAAAGGGGGCCCACAGCCAAGAGAAAGACCACCCCTGGACGCAGACCCACAGATGGTGGAGCCCCCAGAGTCAGGGGACAGGGTGTTAGGCGTAATAGAGGCCGCGGAGGATCCGGTGGGGGAGGCAGGCGGGCGTGCGCCTCCCGGAGCACCGCCCTCAGGAAGACCGCGGTCAGGTGAGAAGACCAGGGGCCGAGGTTCCCTCCCTCCCAGTGCCTCTGCCTCCTCCAGGAGGCGAGCCACGTGCAGGTCTGCAGCTCATCCAGCCACGCCCACGCGTGTGGGAGGGCGGCCCTGGCTCTCATCACCGCGTCCGCAATGCTGGTGTCACTCGGCTGTGCTCCTGCCAGCATGGCGGCACAGGGCACACCCCGCGGCTCGCCTGGGTTCAGCGGCAAGGTTGGCGTCCTCTGTCCTCGCCCCCCCAGGGCCGCCCCCAGACCCAACGCCGGCCGGGGGCCGAGGGCGTGAGCGTCCCCTACACTGTGCACCTCGGGGCCATGCGTGTGTATGGGAGTCTCACAGCAGCACACCCACTGACACCCCACGCAGTCCTTCTTGGGACAGACTGACCCCGAAGTTACTCATGGGGGGACATGGAGAGGCTGGCAGGGGGCGGGGCGGGGAGAGGCAGTGAGCAGTGGCTCCCTCACTGACAGCTCTCCAGTAATTTAGTTTTTCAATCAAGATGGTTCCAGGCCCGAGTGCTGGGCAGCTTTACTTACTTTATAAACATTTTTATTTATTGATTTTTACAGAGGAAGGGAGAGGGATAGTTAGAAACGTGACGAGCCGAAACCAGTTTGGCTCAGTGGATAGAGCGTGGGCCTGGGGACTGAAGGGTCCCAGGTTCGATTCCGGTCAAGGGCATGTACCTTGGTTGCGGGCACATCCTCAGTAGGGGGTGTGCAGGAGGCAGCTGATTGATGTTTCTAACTATCTCTCTCCCTTCCTCTCTGTAAAAAATCAATAAAATATATATTAAAAAAAAAAAAAAGAAAGAAAAAAAAAACATCGACCAGTTGCCTCCTGCACACTCTCTACTGGGGATGTGCCCGCAACCCAGGCACATGCCCTTGGCCGGAATCGAACCTGGGATCTTTCAGTCCGCAGGCTGAGGCTCTAGCCTAGGGGTGTCGAACTCAATCAGAGAAGGGGCCAAAATCTAAAATCCAGCCTAAATCGCGGGCCGAATGGTTTACTGAACAGTCATAAACTGTCATTGTGATGGAAACGCAGCGGAGTGCAGTGATGACAGCGTGGTGCGGGCCACATTGCAAGGCCTGGCGGGACGGATTTGGCCCGCGGGCCTTGTGTTTGACACATGTGCTCTAGCCACTGAGCCAAACAGGCTTCGGCACTTATACTCCTGATTGGCATTCACCACAGCGCCTCCTCCAGCCAGGAGGGAAGGCCTTTCCGGGGCTCCGTTCCCGGCAGCTTCTCCGAGGCCCCGGAGAGGCGGCTGCTGTGCAGCCGGACGAGGCTCCGAGCCCAGGAGGGCTGCCCGGGCCGGAGGCCTGGGTCCCCCAGAGCCAGGCTGACTGCTGGCAAGGCCTGGCCGCGGCGAGGGAGACGGGCTGGGCCGGCCGAGGGCCCCTGGCGGGATGGAACCCAGCCCAGCGGGGGGCCCGGGCCCAGGGACAGTCTGCCCAGCGCAGGCGCAGAGGAGGCAGCGGGGCGACCCCCGGGCTCCACCTCCTGGGAGCCCGGCTCTCCTGGACCTCGGCACCGGCAGCTCAACAATCCCTTCCTGAGGCCGCACGGCCAGCCCCTCCCGCTGCTCCTCCGAAAGGCCCTTCGCCTGAAACAGGCGGTTGGGCGCGCTTCCTAGGAAAGTGCGTTTTCAGAGATTTCAGAGAGGAAGACATGTCAGTGGTGAGAGAATCACCCATCAGCTGCCCCCCACGCGATGGAGCCTGCAACCTGGCCTGGGCCCTGACCTCGGGTCAGAGGTGAACCCTGAGCCCATGGGCCTCGCTCTCCGGTCACCCCCCAGCGAGCACCTGCGGGTCCGGAGGAGCCAGGAGCCCTGCGGGCGGCAGGCGGGAGGGTGGGAGGACGGAGGAGCCAGGAGCCGGCCCCGCCTCACCGGGGCCACGCCCGCCGGCCGGGAAGGACCGCACGCCGGAGCCCCGGGTTTGCATTTGGAACATTTATTTCAGGAAATACATTCCCAGCACTTTGTCATTTTTACAAAAAGACGGATTCTCAGGAGGCACCTAGCGAAGGCCACTGTGGAGCGTCCGGGCGGGAGGGCGGGAGGGCTGGCTGGGCGGGAGGGGGAGCGGAGGCGGCCGGGGCTGCGGGCCCCGGGCTGGAGGCCGGCCGGCGGGCGGGGCCCCGGGGCGGCGCCCCACGTCCCGCCCTGACACCGGACACGGCCTTCAACATCGTGGTTTTTGGCAAAAACATGGCAAGTCGGCAAGTAAACGGTTTCACCGAGGGGCCCTCCTCCGGTGGGCGGGGAGCAGACGCGGAGGCGCGCACCCCGGGGCCCGCGGGCAGCCGGGGTCTGTCTGCACCCCACTTCCCCGCTGCACCCCGGGTCTGCAGGCGGCCCCGCTGGTCCCCATAGGGAGGCTGAGGGGGCGGGGGTCACTGCCCGGGCTGATGGGACATCCGGCCGTTCCCCTGGGGCGGGGGGGGGGGGCAGGCCCCGGCACACGCAGGGCAACAGGAAGTCAAGGCCTCCCACCTGCCAGCCGGCAAGAGCGTGGCCAGGGCGCTGAGCGGGCATTGGGTGGCCTGGCATTCATGAACCAGAGCATCCGGGCACACAGCTGTCCAGAGAGACAGGCCTCAGCGCCCCTGCCCCGTCACAGGCCGGGGGGCGGGGACCAAGGCCATGGGGCCCCTGAACGGCCAGCCCCGGCCCAGAGGCCCCTCCCTGGGCACCGGCCACTTCCTCACTCCACTTCCACTGGACTCACTCTCTGACCTTCCTAAAACGGGGATGGGGGGGGGGGATCTTTTCTTCCTTTGAACCCTCAACCAGAGCCCAGCCGGAGGGGGACGGCGGGGCGCCACAGGGCGACGAAGACACCCCTCCCCTCCGGCCCAGCTCCGTTCCCGTCGGAGGGACGCGGGCTGCGGGTTCGAGGGGGCGGGAATAAAGGCACTTCCTGCTCCAGGGCGGGCCGCAGGCGGGCGGGTGGGAGGACGGGCGGCAGCCGGCGGGCTCGCCACGTCTAAGCAATTGGCAACTGGCATCTCATGGAGTTAATGGTCTCCCCGCGGGGGGCGGGGACGGGTTGGGGGGCTGAGTGATGTGGTCTGAGTGATGCCCACGCCCTGGGAGAGGGCGGAGGCAGGAAGGGGGTCCGGGTCCCCCGGGGGCTCCGTCCCTCCTGGGCCCGCCCCCGGCATGGTCCAGGGGCTGAGACGGCGGGGGCCTGGGGGTGGGGGGACCAAGAGCAAGAGCAGGAGGCCTGGGTCGGGCCTCCTGGACCTCGGGGACGGCCGAGCGCCGGCCCCCCCTCCCCCCCGCCCCCAGGGCTGGGCCGGGAATGGGGTCGTCGGGGCAGGGCGGTCTGTCCGGCATCGTGGGCGGCGGAGAGCGATGCCGGTGAGGGAGGGAGATAAATGAAGGGGGGCTGGGGCTGGAGACGGGCTGGGGGGGGGGGGGTAGGCGCGTCTACATCTCCTGGGCGCCGGGGCCCCCGTCCTCCACGCCGTTGGCCACGTGGCTCTCGTGCAGGCGCTTCACGCGGTACGCCTCGAAGTGGATGCTGCTGGTGATGTCCTTGATGTTCTGCATGTGCGTCCTGCGGGGCGGCCGGGGCAGGTGGGAGGGCGCAGGGCGCAGGGCGGTGCTGGGCCTGCCTCCCGGCCCCCCTCGGCCAGCCTGGACTCCTGCTGCCCTCCCCACCCCACCGCTCCGCTGCCCCCGCCCCGCCCACACCCCATCCGGTCCCCACCCGGGCCTCACCTGATGAGGAGGTCCCGCAGGTAGGCGAACTCACAGTGCATGATGTTCTCCACTGGGGGGAGACGGAGGGCTTAACGCCACGGAGCCCGCCCCACCCCGCCCCCCGCCCCGCCCCAGCAGCTGGGTGCCCAGAGGAGCCGGGCAGACAGGGCAGAGAGGGAGCCCTGGCGCCCACAGGCATGCGGTGCTGTGGGTACGGGGCGACTGACAGGACTGGCTCGGCTCCTGCTCCCCAGAAGGTTCTGGAAGAGCAAGGAGATGGCACGGGAACAGGCCAAGGAACACACGACAGAGTCCCTCCGCCCTCCCTCCGCTTCCTCCTCGGGAAACGGGAGAACCACGGGGTGCAGTGAGCTACCTGGTGCCCTGGTGCCACCCTCCTAAATGCCCGTGGGGGGAGGCACAGTGGGGGGCGCACAGGCATGAGGCACGAGCACAGGGCTTCCCCAGGGGCCCCGGGCACTGCCACCTCAGCACCCCCAGTCCCAGGAGCTGCCCCGAGGCCCCTCCCGTGAGCGGCACCAACCACACAGGCCCAGCGACAGGAAGCCGGCCTTGCTCTTCCCGTCTCCCCTCCAGCTGCCTGCGGGGCCACCAGGGGGCAGCAGAGGCTGTCCATCACCCCGGCGCCCTCCGGCCCCTCCCATGTCCCCACCGCCCTGGTCTCATCTCAGAGGTCCCCCCGCCCACCGGCCCCCAACGCGCCTCCATAAAGAGGCCCGTAAACAGCAAGACCTCAGGAAGGGAGGAGACGGAAGAGGGGGGCCAGGACAGGGCAGAGGCTGCTGAGAGGGACAGGGAGGAGCTGAAGATGGCCCCGCCCCAGGGCAGACGTGGAAGACACCCAGCCTGCACCCCCGCCAGCCCCTCCGTGGGCACCCAGAACGGCCACGCGCCTCCGCACCCTCTGCCAGCCTCTCCGGCAGCAGCCAGGGCGGGCGGCCCGGTGCGTCCCAGCGCCGGACAGGGTGTGGCCTCTACGAGGGGCAGACACGGCCACAGGGCGGCGCCAAAGGACCGAGTGGGGACCCTGTGAGGACCCTTCCCGCCCGCCTTCCTCCCTGGTGCTCAGAGGTCCCGGGGGGCCGGCTCCCCCGCCTTGTCTCCCCCGTGAGCCCATCTGGTGGCGGCAGGGGCAGCACGGGGGGGGGGGGGGGTTGGGGGGGGCGGGGGCGCTGGGGTGGGGGCGGGGGTGGGGGGGCAGCTCTGGGGGGTGGGGGGGGTGGTGGAGGCGGCTTTGCTTTGCTCTGTCCGGGCCCACGCACAGCGGGCCGTACCTTCGATGGTGCCCCACTTAGTTTTCCGGCCGAGGATCCGCTTCCCGTTGACCTGGTACTCGTGGTCGCTGCCCACCACGGCGAACGGGATCATCTCCTGGGGGCGGGGGCGGTCACACATAGGCCTGGGAGGAGCTGCCCGGGGCCCACAGCCCAGGGGCGTCCTCAGGGCTCCCCCCACCCCCCCCCGTTTCCCTCAGACCCGGAGGCAGGAGCCCCCCCCCCCCCCCCCGTTCCCTCAGACCCGGAGGCAGGACCCCGCCCCCCCAGCCGCGGCACAGCGCCCGGTGCCACACACCCGGAACTTCTCGTTCACCAGCCGGTCCTCAGCGTCCTCGTCGAACTCCTTCTGGGGGTACACGTCGATGCCGTTGGACAGCAGGTCGGCGGTGATCTGGGGGTTCAGGGGGAGAGATGGGGCACCGCCGCGTGGCAAGCCGGCCCTGCCACGACCACAGTGTCTGCAGTTGCCATGACCTCGGAGTGGAGGAGGGGCAGCCGCAGGCCGCCGGCCAGGAGACCGGTGGCTGCCCGAGGGGGGACAGGGCGGGGGGACGAGGGGAGCCCTACCCGCTGCTTGAAGTAGACCCTTTCCTCCAGGGTCAGCGTGTCGGCCTTGGCGATGACGGGCACGATGTTGACCACTTTGCTCAGGCGCTTCATGAACTCGATGTCCAGGGGCCTGAGGCTGGAAGGGAACGGCGGGTGGGAGTGAGGTCCGAGGACCCGCGATGGGAGGGAGGGAGGGAGGGTCGGTCACTGCCTCCGCCTGAGAGAGCCCGGGCAGCGTCCCAGCCCCGGGCCTGGCCCCGCCCCGCCCCGCCCCGCCCCGGCCCCCGCCCGGCCCAGCGCCCCGCGTACGAGTGGCCGGTGGCGGGGATGAAGTACAGGCAGCAGTGCACACGCGTGTCCGGGATGCGCTTCTTGCGGTTGATGTTCACCTCCTCCTGCAGGTACTTCTCGTACTGGTCATTGATGAACTTCATGATGGGCTGCCAGCTGCGGGGGACCCGGGGGGTCAGTCTCAGGCTCCGCCCGCCCAGCTCGGCAGCTCCCCGGTCCCCTCGGCAGGCCCCCACTCCCACGGCCCCTCTTTCCGAGCAGGGACCACAGCCTCATCTCAGCCCTGGCTCAGGCGGTGGGGAAGGGCAGAGCCGGGGCCGGGGGTCAGCAGCTGGAGGCCCCGCCCCCGTGGGCCCGCCCCTCACCAGTTCTCGTTGTTGATGTGGTCCCCGAAGCCCGGCGTGTCGATGACCGTGAGCTTCATTCGGACGCCCTTCTCCTCGATGTCTGCGGACACAGCACAGGCTGAGCGGCCGCCCGCCAGCCTGCCCCAGCGAGGCCCACGGGGCGCCCCGGGGACCCGTGATGACACCCAGGCTGCACCGGCGACACGAGGGCCTGGAGGCCCCGCCTGCGGCTCTGGGGGTAACTGAGCTGCGAGCCGGGCCTGACGGGCCCTGAGAGCCGAGTTAAGGAGCAGAGGAATGCCACAGGGCCGGCTGGTGCGGGGCCCGGGGCCGGCCGGTGCGGGGCCCGGGGCCGCCCGCTCCCCCGCTCACCGTGCGTGATGGACTTGATCTCGATGGTCTTGGGGATGCGCTCCTCTGTGCAGGGCGGCTGCACGGACTTCCGGCTGATCTTGGACTTGAAGAGCGTGTTGATCAGGGTGGACTTCCCCAAGCCGCTCTGCCCTGCGGGAGAACGGCCGGCGGCGGCGGCATCCGGTCAGGGGGTCACCCAGCACCCCTCGGGGGGGCAAGCCAGGCCGTGGCTGGACGCCCGCCTCTGACCACAGGGTGCACCCTCCCCTGCGGGGCCCAGCTCCCTCCCGAGAGGGCGGAGACGCAGAGCAGGTGGGGTTCAGAGGAAAACCTCCCAGCCCCGCCCAGGACAGGGACAGAGGGCGGTCTGTGTGCCGGCCCCGCCCCGCCCCCGCCCTGGGCTGTGGTCCACCCGGGGCGGGCTCCGGCCTCCGGCTCAGCCCACAGCCACGACCGCCAGCCTCGGCAAAAGGTCACCGGTCACTGCTTCCTGGTGCCGAAGGCCCGGCCTGCTGGTGTGGGGTCAGCCCCGCGGGACTGAAGGCCAGGGTTCGAGTGGGAGCCAGGGGACACTGCCAGCCTGATCGCCCCTAACTGCCCCCCGCCAGCCTGGTCACTCCTAACTGCCCCCTCTCTCCCCCGCTGGCCTGGTCATCCCTTAGGGCCCCCCTGCTGGCCTGGTCACTCCTAACTGCCTCCTTTGCTGGCCTGGCTGTCCTATGCAGCCTGCTAACCCGGGGAGGTCGCTGTTCAGAGCCTGTCTGCTCCCCTGGGGATGAGGGGGATGAGGGCCTGGGGATGAGGGGGATGAGGGCCTGGGGATGGGGCCCGGGGATGAGGGCCCGGGGAGGAGGGGGAGAAGGGGCCTGGGGCTGAGGGGGATGAGGGCCCAGGGAGGAGGGGGAGGAGGGGCCTGGGGATGAGGGGGATGAGGGCCCAGGGATGAGGAGCCCGGGGATGAGGGGGATGAGGGCCGGGGACTCACCGACCACCATGATGTTGAACTCGAAGCCCTGCTTCATGGCCTTGCGGCGCATCTGCTCCAGGATGGAGTCGATGCCCACGTAGCCGAAGTCCGCGGGCGCCTTCTCACTCCGCGGCCCCGGCGCCGGCTTCAGCCCGGCGTCTCGGGGGGTGTCAGCCATGTCGCCAGCGCCGCCAGGAGCTGCCTCGGGGGCTGCGGGGAGGGGGCAGAGCGTCAGGGGTGGCAGGTCACCCGCGGGCAGCTCCAGCCGCCGGCTCCATTTCTCAGATGAGAAACTGAGGCTCAGCTGCGTAGAGACCCCGAGGAGAGCCTGGCCCCAAAGCCCTCACATGCCCTGTGAATGGCGCCCAGGGTGGCAGCCACACGGGAGGCCTGGCCCACGGGCGCCACCCGGACCCTCGGCCCTCTCCCCTCTGCCCGCCGCCCGCCCGCCCGCTCATCCCCTGAGTCATCCCAGACGGGAGCCCAGGTGGCCTCCGTCCCGCCCCCACCGGACCGGCCTCGGCCCTGGTCCAGCCGCTGGCGGGAGAGGGCAGCCTCGTGGGGATGGAGGGACCAGGTCCGCCCGCCACACCTGGGGGTGCACATCCGGTGCCTGACAGCCCTCCCCCCCGCCCAGCCCCGGCCGCCCCCGGACTGGACCCCGGGGCCACCCCCTCTCTGAGCCCAGCACCGAGCGCCCGCCCGGCCAGGAGGTCCTGCGTCCGGGGCAGTGGCCAGGCGGCAGGTGGGGCTGGGCTTCTCTAACTCCCGCTCTGCAGTCAGACCTCCCTCCCCACGGCCCCCGCCCCCACCTGCCGGGCCAGCGGCTGGGGGTGCCCCCTGGGGACGTGGGGTACACCGTCTAGTCTGGGTTCCCCACCAGGTCTGTGTCTAGTGCGCCCCCCGCTTCCTCAGCCAGCCCCCCGTGCCCCTGTGGCCTCTGCCAGCAGCCCCAGCCACACCCTCCGGCCACCCCCGGCCCCGGATGGGTGCCAGGCCAGTGCCCAGGACGGGTGCCAGGCTTGTGCCCAGATTTCCGTAAACTGAGTTCCCACTTCCCGGTGCAGTGACCAGCTCTACCCCACGCGGCCACCCTCAGCGGCCCCCTCCCCTGCAGGGGACGCCCACAGCAGATGCCCACAGCGGGGCGAGACGGGACTGGGAGCTGAGGTCAGGGCCGGCCCAGCCCCCGCACCGGCTGCACCGGCCACAAGGCAGGAGGGTGGCGGGGCCACAGGCGGCCGATCCCAGGATCCCAGGACCGGGCTGTGGCGGTGTATCTAGGGGTCAGGCTCCACAAAAAGCCCCACTTCCGGGGCTGAGGGGTGAGGAGGCAGCACGAGGCTAGGAAAAGCCAGGAGCCTCGGGGTCCTGGCTGCCCCAGCCCAGGCCAGGGGGGCCTGAGGGGGCAGGAGGGGAGGGAGACTCAGCCCTGGCCAGGCCCTCCTCCTGCCACCGGCCCCCGCACCTTTAACAAACAAAGACAGAGCTGCTGGGGCCCCCGTGGCTTCGGGGCCGCCGCCTGGAGACAGCAGCAGCCCGATGGGCGCCCCGCCCCCACCCCGCCCACGTGACTGGAAATTGCTTCCATCTGTCTGCGGGTCTGGAGCCGCTCTCCACCCTCCCCCCACGTCCCTCCCCTCCCCCTCCCTGCAGCACTGGGGCGGGCGGGGTGGGGGGATGGGGCTCGAACCCGGGCTTCCCAGCACGTCCCCGGAGCAGGGCTCCTGTCAGCCCATCAAAGGCCCCCAGTCCACGAGAATGAGAACCCAGCACACCCCCGCCCCCGCCCCCGCCCGCTGGCGGAGTGGGAGCACAGCAGCTGCTGTGCAGGGGGGTCCGTCCTGCTCCTGGGGAGCCCCGAGCGGCCCCTCGGTTCTGCCCACCCCATGGCCTGCCTGCGCAGGGACAGAGGGCTCCTCCGCCTCCCGCCTCGGGGCAAACGGCGGGATCTGCCCGGGCCCGGCGGGCAGGAGGGGAGCGCAGCAGGCAGACGGCCCAGACCCGCTGGCCCCAGCCTTTCCTTCAGCCACGAAAAGCCCGCTGCCCCGCTGTCCAATATGGTGGCCACATGGAGGTTTTCAAAGAATCGTGGTTAACTGCACACGACATAAAACTTACCCTGAGCCGACTGGCCCGGGCACGTTCCCATGGTGGTGCAGCCGGCTCCACCACCATCTCCTGAACCTTCTCCTCTTCCCAAACCGAAACTGTGTCCCCATTACACACACACCCCCCCCCCCACGCCCTGTCCACAGGCTGCGATGAGGCTGAAGGAAGACGGTGGCAGCACAGGGGAGCGGGAGCCCACGGACTCACCTCTCACCACCCAGAACACCGGACAGAGGCCCGGCAGTCCCTTCCCTAAGAAACAGCCTGGCAAACAGTCCAAGACTCGTGTGCGTGTCACAAACCCTTTTAAAAAGCTGTCAAAGGACTCCCCCCCTCAAAGCAATAGGTACATCCAGGGGACACCCACCAATCGATTTGGGCAATTTGGGGGGTGGGGTGGTCACCAAAGAACCCCTACGTCCGAGGATCTCAATTGAAAAAAAAAACTTAGTCTAATGTAAGGTGACCCGATTTTTATCGGAACTTTTTAAAAATGCCATGGGACAAATTGTTAAAAATCGGGACTGTCCCGGTCTGGTCACCTTAGGGGGACTTAGTACTTATGTGCATCGTCTCTTCACTGAACTTTTATCAACACCAAAGAAGGTCAGGGCTCTGTGGCCAGGGAAGGTGAGGAAAAGTTTAAAATGAGCAAATGTGGACAATTCATCAGAGAAGCAAGGGGAAGTGAGGGAGACCAGAGGCGGGAGAGGGGGCTTGGTATCTGGGGGTGGGCGGAGCCGCTGAAGATGGGCGGATCTTGTGAAGTGGGCGGGGCTGAGGCGATGGGAGGGGCTTAGGGTAGGTGAAGCCGAGGTGGTGGGCGGGGCTGCTGGGGCGGAGCTGCAGTGGTAGGAGGGGCTTTGGGTGGGCGGTGCCTATGGTGGGCGGGGCTGCAGCGACAGGAGGGGCTTCGGGGTAGGCGGAGCCGCTGAAGTGGGCGGGGCCAAGAAGGTGGACGGCGCTGGTGTGGGGGGGCTTCTGGGTGGACGGAGTTGCTGGTCATGGCTGAGGCAGTGGGCGGAGTCGAGGTGGTGGGCGTGGCTGCTGGGGCGGGAGGGGCTTCTGGGTGGCGGGGCCGCTGACGTGGGCGGGGCTGAGGTGGTGGGCGGGCCGCGGGGTGAGTGGGCCCGGCGGCGCGGCTTTGAACAGAGGACCTTTTCCCGCGTCCCCCATGAACCCACCCCGGCCTCCACAAACGCCTCGTAACTGTCACCGGGGAACTTCCTGTTCCTTCCAAAGATGCAAACACTGAACACAAACGGCCAAGTTTTGCAAACGGCGCCGTGGGATCCAGGGCTGGGTTTTAACGGCGCGCAGGGCCCGTTTAACGCGATAAGTCACTCAAATCGAATTACACTTCACACGTTGTCCGGGCAGGAAACGTCTCATCGCAGCCCGGCCAGGCGCGGGTGCCAGAAACCTGGGCCGGGCCTGCAGCCCTGCTCAGAGTCCGACCCAGAGTCCGGCAAAAGTGCTCCGGGACGGCGGGCCTGCCCCTCCGAGGCCGAGCCTCCCCACCCCTCCGCCTGCCCTTTCCGAGAGGAAATCCGACCCCAAGCCGCCGGCGCAGGGTCGCCGCGGGTGGGACGGCGCAGGAGTCAGTCTCCCACGCCCCGTGCCCCCGCAGGCCCGGGGAGGGGACACAGGGCGGCTGCCTCCCCGCCCCAGGCCTCCGATCATTCAGGGGCCAGGCCCCCGCAGTGGAGGCCCCCCTCCCACTGCCCGCCCGCTCCCCCTCCGCGGCTCTCACAAACCCTCAGAGCCAGCCTCCCCGCCGTTGTCCGGGCAGGAATCTCAAGAAGGTCCTCACTGCTGCCAACGCGGTCTCAATGGCCCGGCGGGAGAGGGGGCTTGGAGCCCGGCCAGCCCCCGCCCCCTGCTCCTTCGTTCGCAGCGGAGGCCCTGGGCCCGGGCCCGAGACATCCATCTCCGGCAGAGCAGGCTCCAACCTGCCCGTCCCCGCTCGCTGCTGAGCGAGGAGTTTCCGTGCGGCTCCAGCCCGACTTCTCATTCCGTGTCCCAGGGCCCACGCCCCGCGCAGGACCCGGGACCGTGCCCCAGGCTCCTCCCGGCCCAGGGAACCTTCCAGCAAGACGGGCCCCGAACCCAGAGCCAACCCGGAACCCAGCCCGGCCGCCCACGGAGCCCGAGGGCCCGCCAGCCGCGGAGATGCCGTTAGTTAGTTCTTGGCAAAAGCGCGCAGAGTTAGAAAGAACAAGGGGCCCTCCCCCGCGAGGGGGGACAGCGGCCATTTGTCACCCCGTTTGTCACCGGGTGGAATGTCCTCTTATCGGGGATGGCCCCCTCCTATCAGCAGCTGTCAGCGGATGCTCACCAGAGCTGTCCGGCTGGGCACCAGGCTCTGCCTCCCCAGCAGATGAGTCATCCGAGCTGACCGAGGGGTCCGGCCCCTGGGGGGCACCAGGGCACCCCTCCAGCTGAGCAGAAAGGAGCTCTAACGCGAGAACAGGGAGCGCTTTCCTCCTGGGCAGGTCTCAGGCCCCCCCTCAGGCTCCCCGAGCCCAGAAAGGCGGGGGGGGGGGGGAGGCTGAAGCCAGGGCAGAAAGGGGGGGCAGGAGCAGAGGGCACCTCCTATCTCAGCTGAGGGATGGGGAGCGGTCAGCACCGCATTTAGCCAATGGGGTCATCCACCCACTGGCCGCGCCCCCTCTGGCCTGGGGCGGAGGCTGGGGGGGCTGGGCCGGCTCGGTCATCTCCTCTCCCCACCCCGCGGCTCCGGGTGGACGGCCCGCCGGCCTGCACAGACCCTGCACGCCGGGAGACCCCACTGCTCACACCCCAGCCCCCGCCACCCGACTCCCACGGCCACTCGGCCCTGGACAAGGCAGAGGAAGGGCCTGAGACGAGGGCACACCCCGAGGCGCTGCCGTTCACGGCTTCAAGCTCGCTCCGCAGTGCGGGCCGGCCGCCGGCCTGGCCCGGAGTCCCAGCACCCGTGTTCCGGCCCCCCTGCCCCCCGCTCGGGACAGACATGTCTGCCTCTGAGCACTGCTGGGCCGCGGGCAGGGGCCGACCTGGAGGGACGCCGGTGTGACTGCTCTTCCCGCCGGCACCGCAGGGAGCTTGAAACACCT